ATTTTCTAATAATTGCGCCAACAGTTTTTGCCTTCTCACCAAGCTGTTTGCCTATTGTCCTGTAGCCCATCCCAGCCTTGTGCAGGTCTGCAATTTTGTCCCTAGTGTTTTTAGACAGCTCTTTGGTCTTGTCCATAGTGGAGAAGTTGGAGTCTGATAGATTGTGTGTGTGGACAGGTATCTTTTATACAGGTAACGAGTTAAAACAGGTGTAATTAATCCAGGCAATGAGTGGAGGATAGGAGGGCTTCTTAAAGACAAACTAACAGGTCTGTGAAAGCCAGAATTCTTGCTGGTTGGTAGGTGATCAAATACTTATTTCATCACCTACAAATGGAAATATAAAATGGAAATAAATGATTTAAAAATCTAACAATGTGATTTTCTGGAATTTTTTTTTAGATTGTCTCTCACAGTTGAGGTGTACCTATGATGAAAACTACAGAACTGTCCATTCTCTAAGTGGGAAAACTTGAAAAATCAGTGGTGTATCAAATACTTATTTGCCCCACTGTATATACCAACAGGGCAAACAACAGCCTCCTGTTGTTCTGCAAACCTCTTCTCTGGAGGATAAGAAGGAACATCATGAACAGCTGAATGTTCTGTGTCTGAGAATTTCCTGTCACTTCCTCCTTACCATCCCCCTCCAAGAAAAAAAAACTTTCTGATTAGGATCAGAGCAATTGGCTGCATTCAACATGCACAAAAATTCCCAAAGCCTCTAATGTCTTTCTGTTTGCACAAGCCCCACCCAGCAGGAGGAACTGTCTCAGGCTTGACTGTCTGACAGTTCCTCATTCGCTGGAAAAAAAGGTTTTATTGGCTTTATCCTCCATGACATGCAATATATGACAGTAAAACAGCATCTCGTCAGAACTGAAACTCAGCTGTCATGCATTGACGGCGCCGGTCTATACAAGCACAGACGCAGTAACGGCAGCCTATGGCAGGCAGTTAAGGGAATTTCCTTTATAGCTGTAATGTTTGGCACAGTCAATTATATGCTGGGTTCTACATGATCTTTTTACTGTTATAGGATTATGACATCTAATGTACACACAAACGCATTCTTGTCCAAACTTAGTGCCTCAGGTACTGTCCAGGACCAAGTGCAATTTCCCAATCACATCACCCAGTCTCCCCAAATATATCCACACGAAGTCTTAACTGTTAAATAGGACTCTTTTAATTTAACTGGAGTGTGCTGGACTGTTTGTTGTCTGACATCTACAACCTGCTCAAGTGTACACATTCACAGCTTCCATAAAAAATACATCTTTGTATACACAGCATTTACAATATCATACAACAGAGCTGTTGCAGGTACATCTGTGTGGATGGATGTTTATGTGACAGTGATTTGCAGTGTCCAGAATACGCGGGGATCCCATCATAATGTGTCCGGTATTCACAACCCATCCTGCAGCCTGGAGCAGTTCCACTGGTTTATTTGGCCATCAGTCTCGTTTTGTTTTGCCTTTGCAGCTACCTGTCCATCTCTGTCAGCGGTCGCATCCGTGCTGTGTCACCCACACTCAGGCTCACGTGACGTCATTCCAGGAAGCAGTAGACCATCCCAAGCCATTTCTCCTGGCCTTTGCTGTCACCATCACAACCTCCTGCCTCTATAACTTCCTCGCTCTGTCTTGTTTCCCACTAATGTCCGTTCCACTCAAAATCATCATAATCCACCTGCGGACAAACAGTGGACAGACAAATGGTTACACACTGGGATGGCTATACAGTGGGAGGTAGTGGGAGGTTCTGGATTTTCAACACACCTTGTCATCAGACTCATCCTCCTCTTCCTCGCTGTCATCTGATTCACTGTCAGGCAGCTCCCTCAGGTTAGGATCAGTCCTCGAGTACAGTTCCTGCCTGATGTCAGCACTGCTGCAACCATAGGTGAGGTGGTAGGGGGTGTGGCCTCCAGAGCTCAAGAGGTTTGGGTCTGCTCCTTTCTTCAGCAGCAGTTTGACCAGCAAGAGGTTCTGCTGGTCCACAGCCAGATGCAGTGCACTGCGACCATTACGCTGCTCCTATATGATGGAGAGAGACGAAGGTCCTCAACATGCAATGACCAACGGTTTGTGTATGGGTTTATACTGTCAGTAGTTATATACTCTGCATACATATAAGGTGGTGTTTACCTTTGCATTAATGTCAGCTCCTAGTTCCACCATGCTCTCCACCAGTGAGAGGAAGCCATGGACAGAGGCCAGGTGGAGGCAGTTCTGACCTGCAAAAAACATCAGAGGAACAGCTCATCAGCTGACACCAGACCATTACACCATTTTGTAAGTGTCGTAGGATCCAAATGAACTGGACCAGTGATTTTCTGATATGCACTTACATTATCCTGTAATGTAATACAGATTCTTATAGGAACACAGACTTCCATAAAAGGTGATTTTCATTTAATATGCCAAATTTGGGGGTTTTATTTTGAAATTTTGGTTCCCAAATGAAATCTGGAAATGAGTGAACCCTTAAAATTGTCTGAACAAGTCTAAAACTAGAGCCTTTCTATCTGGACCATTATGTGCCATGTAATAGAAGGGTTTTAGTCAGGAAGTAATGCTATGAAAGGCTGTGGCATTCCCCTTCTTGCTTAAGTGTTTCCTTCCTGCTAACCACAGTGTTCAGGGATAATGGGCAGCAGAAACTACTCGTTCTGCCTACAAATCCTCCATTTAAATGGTAGTTAGGACCAGCAGCAGACTGGACAGTATCTCATTTGTGTCCAAGTAGAAGGGGTGGGCTGCCACAGAATACAAATTACCATCACCATAAAATAAAATACACTAATAATATCACTGTAATTTAGCCCCATACCACTGCTAAATTCACATATGTTTGTTGTCTAATATGCAAACAACTACAGTTTTAATGTTGACAACTAAAGTTAGTACTCGTACTACACTCTTACCATGATAGTTACAGGCAGCCATCATTGTGCGTAGATGCTCTGTCTGACAGTTCTGCGTGATGACACTGAAGCACAGCAGGTCACCATGGCGACAGGCGATGTGAAGAGGCGTGTCCCCTCTGTTGTCCACCAGGGTAGGGTCACAGCTGGATGCCAGGAGGTGCTGACACACGCCTGCCTGGTTCGTTATTACGGCCAAGTGGAGGGGGGTCTGGAATGGGAGAAATTACAGACAGGTGAATTACTGAGTCTCAGGCATTTTTATAATTCTCTACAGACAATGCATTATTTTTATTATTTCACCAGTACAGCCTGGTGGAAATGAAAAGTACAGAGAAACAGGTGGAGACTTGGCAATGAGTTCAATCTATTGTCTTTGAAGAGCTGTGTCTCACATACTTGTCTCAGGTCATTCTGTGTGTTGAGGAAGTCTGTGTTCTTGGACAGGTCAATCATCGTTCTGATGTAGTCTTTGGCCTCGTGGATGATGGCCAGGTGGAGCAGTCTACGCAGACGGAGGAGGAATGTTACAGTACATGCACAACACAGCCACATCTACACACAAGACAAAGGAAATATGCTCCACAAGAAAACCTGTCACATACAATCCCTTGACATTTTTAAGTATAATAGCCAAAAAATGCATCTCTGAATGTTTTTCCATCTATAAAACATAATGTACAATAAACCTAAGATTTAGAATGGAGAGAAATTACTGGACAGACCAGAAAATACAGAACAGAAGGCTAAATTTGGTACAGAACTTTATTACTGGTCTGGAGATGACAAAGCAGTTAAAGACAGAGTGTGAAAACAAATGGGATTAACAGCAAAAATAAGCAAATAGTATAACCCTGACATAAAAACTTATCTGGATTCTTTTTATTCACCGAGTTTCCATAGCACAGGCCCCCAAATATTCTCTGATGTGTTCATTTAGCATTAAATTATATTACGTTTCTATTTACACTACACAATCACTTTCATATGCATAACAGGACAGTCACTTTTGTCACTTGTAATGAGGATCATCTCCTGAAAATGCGATAAATTTATGACAATAAATAAAACATGGTCCCGGGAGAAGCTGCTGACGACCTCAAGAGTTCCCCGAGCCCTGCATTGAGAACCACCGCTGTGGTTTGTACTCTCAGGTTAAAGTAGTATGACATGGTGCCATGCTTACTCAGCTTTAATTAACTGATGTATGGACTAATGAGAACGGTCATAATACGGTGCCATGTTGGATCTGTATTTCTCGGCGGAAGGATTACACTACAGTAAAAATAACACTTGGGGACTCTCGTAATGTGATTCCCCACGGCTTTTATGAGAGCAGGAGCCTATTTCAGGGCAGGGTTTTAGCCTTAGCCTCCACTGACTGCATTGTAGTATAATTTAAGATACTTTTCTAAATTTCCCCCAGCTTCTCGCTTCACGGGAGCGCGCGTCGATCGGATTCCTTGGCGGCGCGCCCGGGACTTTCCCAGTCTGACCCGCGGCCATAGTAGCTTCTCTCCGGATAAAAAGCCTTTTGTTTACGTCCAGTGCAACCGTGTCCGACCACAGCTGGAGTCATTATTACCCCGGACACCCGTTGTGTGTATTGTCAACGCTGCAGTTGTGCTTTTACAGGTCCCAGAGCATAAAGAAGCCCTAGTCAGGACAATAAACCAGGCCTGGGCCCGGGCTTTGTGATGACAATCTAGAGGAAGATATTCCCCACAGGAAAGGGATCAAATTACCTCCGAGACCCGAGATGGGCCTGCTCAGGCGACATTGCGGGGCTACTTATACCTCCAAGAACTCAAACATTAGCTGTGTAACGTTATTCCCGCTCAGACTTACGTGTCTCCGTCCTCTGTAGTCTGTGTCTTCCAGTCGTGCAGCTCTGCTGTTCCCGCTGGAGGCTGCTGCGGCTCACAGTCCATCTGCAGCCGACAGATCTCGGCCGCCACAGCCTGGTACTCTTCCTCCTTTAGTGAGTCCAGACCGCTGTCGAGCCGCTCCTCGGTCGACTGGGCCGGCTTCCCTTCTTTATTCTCCCGACTGTAATCCATTTGGTTCAACAAACTGGTTCTGTGCAGGTCCATAGCAGCTCGTTCGCTTGTTTTGTCACGGAGCTGTGCAGCAGTCTGTAAATGCCCTGTGTGTAGCTTCAGAGGGGCGGAGCTAACAACTGGGTGGGGGATTTCCAGAAAACGGTCACTTAGAATAACACAGCACACAGATCGCTGGCTCCAAGAGGGGATTTCTATTGACACACAGAAATACACCACTATCTGTCACCAAGAGAGCAGAGCACTTTTGCATGCTCAGTCTGTTGCACCCAAAATATACCTTTTCTGAAATAGTTCACTCTTTATATAAGTATGTGCATGTTCTCTCTCTATGTCAGTGTTACAGCTGTAGGCTAGTTACTTTAAAAATCATCTTCTGAGCTTTCATGAAGTATATTATAGTGTGCTAACAAAACTGCACACTTTTAAAGAGCTGCAAGAAATCAGATGTGTTAATTTAGCAAGAAAAGGAAATGCTATAGTCCAGGAAGTCAGAATAGCTTGAAGCACGAGCTTTGGGGTTTTATTTACCCTCTGTAAAAACCAGTCACACAAGTATGAGTATGTTACTGTTCCCTATGTTTGTCTATATATGGTGTAAATCTGGTACAGTTCTGACATGAGTGAAGGACAAATGGAAAATCCTAAAACGTCACCTTGATGAACATGCTCCCGCTGGATGGGTTTATCAAACAGAGATGTTGCTCTGCAGCTCCTCAATGTTCAGGTGGGTGTGCAGACCTGCAGGAGGGGGCTGCAGCATGCACAGGAGTTTCCACCAAAACTTCAGTGTGTTGGGAGTTTGACTTCAATTTGTTTATTGCAGCCACTGTGAAAACAATATGTTGAGCACAAGAACAAAGCAGGCGGCCTGCAGTGGAGTTTCCCTAACGCTCACACATCTTGACCACATGGTCAAGTGAGCTGTTAAAGATGTTTCAGCCCAATATAACACTGACAGTGTCCTTCCAATTCTTCTGTTAAGGAATTGGAAGTTCTCGATAAGGCCGCGAGACTTCACGAGGCTGTGACCCATCCCTTTAAAAACAAACATCGAGTTGAACATGCTGTTCCAGAGGCCTGAGGGAAACTCCAGGCTTATTTTCCCTCCCATTGTTCAGTCCGTGTGACCAGTTAGACTGGGAAGCTCAGGCTTCACTCTCAGCATATTTTTACTGTCACGTTAGCAACTGTTGAGCAACACTCTGGGCAGGAACATGCACAAACACATGCAAATGTACAGTTTCTGTTTATTGTTGTACATGTTGCTAAATTGTGTATAATCTTTTTTACTCTGCACCAGTATTTAACATTCCATTCTCAGTATCTGAAGCAAGAATGGAAAGATTGTATAGAGGGCAACAAACCATACAAACCACAGTCACACCCACGGCTCGCTGCAAATACATGATCTGTTTCACGGCTGCTAATCACAATCAGCTTTAAAGGCACAGTGAAAACAAGACCTTGGGCTGAACAGAAGGCAGATGAATGGAGGAAAGGAATGCACACAGAGGGCTGGGAAACAAAGCAGTCACACACACTTTGTTAGACAGAGGGAATTGAATATTCAAATACATTAGGAATGTTTGCAAACTGCCCACACCTCAACTTTACATTTGTAAAAGTTGTTGTTTTTATGTTGTGTCTTTCTGGGGGGGAATGCACGACACAGACAAACACCATCTGATAAAGATTAGAAAAAGGAATCAAACCAATCTATAACATCCAGAGATCTCTAGATGGTACGGATATGATCGGACACAGTGACGCTGAGTCATTTTGAGTAGAAACCAGTGCATCGCTATTTGACTAAAGGTCAGGAGCATCACTACATTATCTGACACAACATTCTTAAACAGTACAGGGACAAAATTCCAATATGCTGAAAAGTATCTGAACATTGCAGTAGCAGCCTAAGACATGGAAGGAAGTAAATACAGTTGGGAAAAGTAATACATGTTGCTGGAACTTTGCATGCAGTCAGTACTTTTAGTGTCTGTTCCAGGCTTGCCTAAATTTAACCTCAGGCATCAGCCATTTATGTTTGGAGTGTGCTTCAACTGGAAAACCTGGGGAAAGCAAATAGATTGTAAAGTGTATGAGCACTGTTTATGAAGATTTCTGCATTGTGGTTTCATAGATTTACCTCAATGCATCACCCCTGTTTCGCTGGCTTAGCTGTGTTTCACAGCAGTATTCCAGCATCTGAACCCTGAAGCCAAAAAGACTTTTACCTGTCTGTAAAACAGTGTTTTTGTAGAGAACAGATTGTGGCTATTTGTACAGACCTGCATGTGTGTGTGATATGAATTGATCTACTATTCAATGACCAGTTTAAATGTGGTAATATTAGATTGTACACATTTCCTAATTTACCTATTCTAGTTTTTCCTTCAATAAAGGACATAAAAGGGTCAATGAACGGCTGATATTTGTTTGAATACATGCTGATGAAAACAGGAAAGAGCAGAGTAAGCGGTGAAATAACGTTGGCACAGTGCTAATGCTGCCAGTTGCTGTTAATAAGCAGCTGTTTCAATAAAACCACAACCAACACAGCACAAAGATGAACTCAGTGTGTCCAGCTCACTCTACGGTGCAACATGGACGGCTCTATAAAAGTTACCAGGTAATTATTTCATTTATATAAAAAAAAACAAATGAATCAATGTAGTCTTTGTGATTTATGTGATGAATGAGGCTAAAACGAATTTTCAGCATAAAGGTCTTTGCTTTCTGACCCAGTCTGTGTAAAGCTTCACTGTTTCAGCCTTTTCTATTGTACTCTACTGTAGATCCTCCAGGAGAATAGCTACTGACTATATCCACACCTGCACATACAGTGTTTGCATACTGTATGTGTGTGTGAGTGTGTGTGTGTGTGTGTGTCAGTGGGAATCCCTGGGCATTTGCACATGAGCAGACATGTACACACAGAATGATTCATAATGAATCACTCAATTAGCCGCACACACAGTAACATACATTAAAGTGACTCAGACATTCTGGATGTGTGACTGTCTTAAGACCGAAAGCATGACAGACACATAAAACTGCGAAGGGTGAGACACGGTGAGGTTTCACTGTGGTCACCTGTGGCTCTACCTGCTTCCCTCTTCTTGTCAATGTTACAGACCGACCTCTTGTCTGAACCACTTTCCTCTTATTTTACAGCCATGTGCTCTTATGTCCTGTGTTGTTTCAGTCGATTCCCTCAATATATATCTTTTTGTTTGTTTTTAGAAGCAATTCAAAATAACACTATGTCTGAAGAGCTCAAATAAATACAGTATATTCTGAACTGTAATTCACAAGTGTGTTTAGAGCTGTGGTTAAAATGCCAAATAGTCAGAGATGATTATCTCACAGAAACCTTCATACAAGCTGTGATGTGCAACTCAGATCTACTGTAGAATAACTGAGAAGATTAGTGGTTTGTTGTGGCAGCACTGTACTTATGTAAGTACAATTTTAAGGTAAGTGTATGCTATTTTAGACTTACATATAACTACTTATTACTTCACCAAAGGCTCCTTTAGATTCCATTTATAAAATACAGTGTTATGGATGAAACAGTATATGGTTAGTATTAGAATGAAAATGCTGCTTAACCTTTGGATTTGATCAGTAGTAATGAGACTATTATAATGTTGGCCTCACCTAAACTGATGGACTCTCTGGGAACAGAGACGTTAAACCAGGCCACACAGTGACAAAGCGCCAGCAGCAGGGTGGGCCACCAGGAAGAACTGGGCAATGGAGGCAGCTGCTTTCCCTGCAGAGACAGATCTCTGTCAGTAGGGGGCGCGAGAGGGCAGCTGTCATACAGCTCAGCAGGGTAGAGGCTGGCATACACTGAAATGAAACCTGAATCATATAACAATAAAGAATGAACTTTAACCTACATTTTTTACACATATGTGTACAAGATAGTCCTTAAAGCGCTCACCTGCTGATGAAGATCATGTGATCTACCTGACAGCTCCACAACAACATCAACTACACTGAGATGAGACTGTTTCGTCAAATCAGACATGGACATTAACAAAATAATGTCAGCTCATGGTCCACTTACCACCTCTTCCTATTGCTTTCTGCCAAATCATCAGGTCTTGCAAATGTCAAGTATACAAATCTTAAATGGTTCCAACATCATCCTGTTAATAAAAATCCAAAAACATGAAGCCATCTGCCCATGAATACAATTATATAAGATTAAAAGCTAGGAAGTGGACCTTGAGTTAGATCTGTTTTCCTAAACTACTATATCCAAGGTCAAGAATCAACCTCATCCAGTCAATCATCTGACTGACAAGCCAACAAGCAGCTTCAGACAACTCCGAGTTACAGCTGTGGGTGAACGTCCACCATGAGATGGCGTCAGATAACCACAGGCAGCTACTGTCATCCTGCAACAAGATGGACAGGGATGTCGGTGTCTTTTTCTCATCACCTATTGATTTGATTGATTTGAACTGATGTGATCAATAATCCAAAGCTAATTCTGTGTTTCATTGAAACAGCAACATTTATACATAGATGGGCATGTTGACAGAGAAGGTTTCTAAATCTGTCCTGTAAGACAAAAGAGACTTAGCCACCATTTAAAAATGTAAAGAAACATTTCGTGGGCGTCCACACGTCATTTGATATGACTAGAACCTGACTGATGTCTGGATGAAGAGTGTGACTATGAGAGGGCAGGTAATGTTAATGTTAATGCTTCAGAGGCTACATTTTACATTTTACTACAGTTCATTCCTGTATTTACCTGTCAGTCTCCTGTTAGTGCATGATCTTAATTTATCTTTTTGAATTAAAACTTTCCTTACAAACATAAATATGCATTTAATCATCTTAGTGTCACTGTAAACGAGTATAATCTGGGTCTTGTTCTTTCTATAATCTCTCCACCAGCCAACAGACCTCAGACACTTAATAGCCTGATGTTTTTTTAAAGGTTACAAACCATATAGCCTACAACAATATGTCCTTTGGCTTCAGCAGTATCATCAACGCAGCATTAAACCTAATTCCAAGTCTTAAAGCTGAGCCGACGGCCTTTTAATTAATGAGTGAAATGTGTTAAATTGGACAGATCTTTCTGATCATATGCTCGGGTCAACACATAACAAACACATAACAAAAACAGAATTATGTACAAACAAAGCTCCCATCAGTCCTAGTTAAGATGTAATCACAGACAGTTTAGCTGTATAATACTGCAACACTTAAAGGCTTGTTACTGAGACACAGATCAATAGAGCCATTTTCAGCAGGCTGGGGGATTATCCACCTCACTGCCCACCCATGCAATGCAAACTAAACGCACACACACATATACTGTACACAGACATCATATCCTCTAACCAGCAGCCTCTTCACAGTATTTGTGGGTCCATATTTTACAGGAAACTGACTGAGAACATTTGCCCTGATTTTAAATGACTGATAGCTGCCTGCTCTGGCCTTCCTTACATCAGCTGGCCCCCTTCTTCTTCTTCTTTTTTAAAATATGAGGTTTAATTGCTGTAACACTGTGTTGTCATCCTAGCTCATTCCCCCCCCC